TTTTTTTTATGTTTTTCATGAGCCCACTGTGTATTCTTTAGAACAGCATTATGCCCCTGGTGTCCAGCTGCAAACTGGCCTGAAAGGAGCATGCTAGCAGCGGGGCTGATGAGGTAACAGATGTGATGTCACTGCCCCATTTCAGGAAAAAATACCTAGAGAACTACTGGAATCTCTTCTTTTAGTGGAGCTCCGTTATAGTTCAGTAATTTCACTAGGTCAAGGCACTTTTTTCAGGAGCATCCTTTTTGATTTTTTTTTTTTTAAATCATTTAACCAGGATGAATCATTCCATGAAGCAACCCTATTCCAATTTTCGGGGTTTTTTTGAGGCAGCATCTCATAAATTTTAAAGTGTCAAAGTTTTTAAGTGAAGAATTAATACCATTAGATACATGCTGCAATAAAATATTCTTTCAATCTGGCTGCTGTATGTGTTAGAGAACTATGGTATGCAGTATACACACTAATTTGCAAATTTTAAGTTTCAGCAAATACTTTTTCTCCAGTTCCTTAAATTGCATCAAGTAAATATGTATATAAATTTGATTGTATACTGGCAGATCAAGCTTTCAAAATTTAATTTTGTATTCATTCACACAGGAAGTAGGATTAAACATTCATGTTAGTGAGTTGAGACATGATCGTCAATTTACTTTGTATATTCATTGCTGAAATACTAGTGACTGTTTGGAATTGTGTTCTTGGTTTATCTATACTTCTGACCCAGCCTGATGTCCAGTTTCTAGGATTTTTGCACTATAGTTGATTTATCCTTATCTTTTTCTTGGAGGTGTTTGTTAACAAGTTCATGAGTAGAATCAACTGTTTCCCCTGTGCTTTCAGCTTCCTGTAAGTTTTGTGTAACTTAATGCCAGAAAAAGCACCTGACCCTTTTCTTTTTTGCCTTGTTTACAGTAAATTGGTTTTTCTGATTGTACTGTTATACTATGAGTTTTAGTGCTATGGGGGAAGGCAGAAAAATCTCTTGTGCGTTTTGAAGACAGTGATACTCTTATTCTTCAAAATGCATAGTGCAAAATGCATTAATCTGAAACGCCTAACGAGTTGAATAAGACTGAATTTAACCTACATATGGTGCTAAGATATTTTTTTTTAGGCATTGCTTCTGACACATCAACTGTCATATATAAAAATAGCAGTTGTTTCTACAACCAAAACTATTCTTTTTGCAGAAATTTTAACTCCCAAGCTTTCTTGGTTCTGACTGTATTTTGAATGGAATACTCTAGCATATTTTCTTAATGTGGTGGTATATGTTATTTCTCCTTACAGACGCCTCCACCTCAATAAGAAAGCCACAGACAAACAGCCATATAGCAAGCTTCCTGGTGTTTCACTTCTAAAGCCGTTAAAAGGTGTGGATCCGAACCTGATCAACAACTTAGAAACCTTCTTTGAACTGGATTATCCGAAAGTATGTATACTGTTTAGTGTCTCTCTTTTTTTTTCCCTCCCACGCCTTCAGAAGTCATATCAGGAGCTTAGGCTAGCACTGTGCAACTTGATTACGTCTTGGATTGTTCTGCCTTTCACAGAAAACACATAATTACATAGTTTATATGTTGCAAACAAAACTTACTCCTTTTTAAAAAGCTGTCTGTAAAGGAACATGACCAAGGCTTAGGGACGGAATGTACTCTACACTTCACCAAGATTTATTTAGTCATTGTTCCTCTATTGTGGCATTTATAGCAGTATGAAACCCTTCAATATAGAAGAGACCATTTGATAGGCCAGATACCCTCTCAATTAACTACATCTCTGTAACGGATCCCCTAAAAGCAAATACTTAACTGATAGCCTGAAACTTGCTGGTGGTTCTTACTGATGGCTCATCTAACAAAGAATTGCTCAATGATGAGGTGGTGTACCTCACGAGTTGTTGGTAGGTAGGATAATCTCCAAGGCACTTATCAGTGTTGGGAAACAAACGGTTAATAAAAGCTTACATTTGCTGTTGAACACTGCTTGACTTTGTAGTACAAGTGATAAGTTTGTCAGATGCCGTCCTTGCTATAAGGAGCTTACAACTTAAAGGAGAAATCTGCAAATGTTTGCTGTATAAGTCACTACTTCATGTGTGTTTCTGTGGATGGAAAAAGGACTGCATTTTCTACTGTGTATCTCATGACTTCTAAAACTTGTCATTTACTTCTATTAAAAACTTTTCTTAATTCTTTTCAAAACTGCTTCTGACACTGCTGCTTCAGCTGTAAAAGGTCAAAGGTATGTGTAAGCTGAACAGCGAGTTTCCTTTGCATATTCTGACCAAGAGCTTTAAAACTTACTCCTAAGTAGGCAGGGTAAAACAAAACAAAAAACCCCTCACCATTTGGAACTTATTAAAAATCGGATAGTTTTTCTGTAATGAAAGTTGGGGCCTTTTGAAAAGCTTCAGGCATGAACATTTGAATCCTTTTCACTCAACAAAAGTGCAATAAAGGTTAAGAGTGGCCAAGGTAAGTTTAAAGCATACTCGAGGTGTGCTGTGTATGCCAGTATTGCAAATAGTGCAAAGAAGCTGCAACAATATCTTAAGCTATTTAGGACTATAATGAGCATCAAAACATTATGCAGTTGAAACATTTGACTACAAATACAATTTGGTTGAGAATTCAGAAAAACAGTTATGCTGGATCTTGCTTTATGAGAGGTAGTCTTGACCCTTTCTTCCAACAACTTATACATACGGATGGCAATCTTAATATTGCTACTCCACAACAATCTGAATTTCAGGTAACAATTGTGACAACCGTATTTTTCCCAAGAAGAGTGAAAATGGATGTATAAATGCTTCAGTTTACTGGGGCACAGATTATACAGTACAAACAAGATCCCCAAACAGTTTGAAAACACTTCTGTACAATAACCACAAAAATACCTCATTTAAAAGATTGACATTACACCACAAATTAGAATAAGACTATTGCCTGGTATTCAAAGTTCAGCAGCCCAGGGGAATATTATTTAAGAATAATCTTAAACTTGTTCCAGTAAAGCTGAGTGGAACCTGCAGTGATACTGATTGTCTGATAATCTTCTGTGATGCCCCATGTGTGAAATAATCTTTTCTTGCATAGAAGCCAGTTATGCAGCTCCTAAAATGTGGGACTTACATATAATATATTTATTAGTCAACAGTTCTTAGCTACTGTGATATTGTGATTTTTTTGGCATAAATCTTCCTATTCGTGTTATGTCCAAATGAACTTGATTGTAATGTTTGCGTAGATAAGCATCTTTGTATTTCTTCCCAAGTCATACATTTTGTAGTTTTTTACTTTGTTACTGCATACAAAGGCCACTTACTGTGAATTTTTCTGTTTTCAAATATTGGAATGTCAAAGTTCCTTTTTTCTGGTTGAATTTCCTGGAGAATCTGGATATAGAAATGTCGTTGCAACTGTGGATGGAGACTAGTTATTTAATTGCTAGCAAAAATAGTTGTTCTTTTACATACTTAATCGGATGAGCAATGAAGAAGTAATTTCTTTAGTTAGTAATTTCTGTGGTGTTCATGCTGTCAGGATTGCTCTGTTGTGGTGGAAGGACCTGTCTGCTTAATGAGACAGGTCTCTTACCCTTTAAATTTCATTTTCCATGCTGGCAAAACAATAGGAATCAAATACTGCTCACTCCTTAAGCAAATTGACTTTGGGTTTGCATTCTGAGAGGTAGAGATGGGTTTATCTGATAGTTTGTAGTGCTAGACCAAGTCTTACCAACTCCCATTTAGTGGTTAATGATTTTAAGTTTCCACAATATTCTGAATGCAGTTAGTCGTTAGGGTTTTTTGTGTGTAACAGTACCTTTTCTTGAAAGAATGTATTTATTTAACTTAATGAGGAAGGTTATATCAAGTAAGGAGTATTCAAGGAATTTGTTAATCCAGAAACAGGAATAGGTCCATCAAAGCTTGCAAAGCTCTTTCAAAATGTTGAATGATTCTTAAAATCTACTGTCTGTGGACAAGTGTGTAACAAGCATGTAGGTTGATTGCTGAAGCAGCTACAGCTTTCCCTTACCTCTTGTTGATTTTTAACTGTATATGAGGAAAATATACTGGAGAGGAGGGATGTCATCCAGAGGCACCTGGACAGGCTGGAGAGGTGGGCCCAAGCCAACCTCATGCTGTTCAACAAGGCCAAGTGCAAAGTCCTACATCTGGGTTAGGGCAATTGCAAGCACAAATACAGGCTCGGGAGGGAATGGCTGGAGAGCAGCCCTGAGGAGAAGGACCTGGGTGTGCTGATTGATGAGAAGCTCAACATGAGCCAGCAATGTGCAATCACAGCCCAGAAGGCCAGCTGCATCCTGGGCTGCATCAGAAGTGTGGCCAGCAGGCCCCTCTACTCCACTCTCATGAGACCCCACCTGGAGTACTGCATCCAGCTCTGGAGTCTTCAATGTAAGAAAGACATGGACCTGCTGGAGGGTGTCCAGAGGAGAGCCACGAGGATGATCCCAGAGGGCTGGAGCACCTCTCCTATGAGGAGAGGCTGAGAGAGTTGGGGCTGTTCAGCCTGGAGAAGAGAAGACTCCGGGGTGATCTTATTGTGGCCTTCCAGTACCTAAAGGAGGCCTACAGGAGAGCTGGGGAAGGACTTTTCACTAGGGCATGTAGTGATAGGATGAGGGGGAATGGATGTAAACTGGAAGAGGGCAGGTTTAGATTCAACATTAGGAAGAAATTTTTCGCTTTGAGGGTGGTGAGGCACTGGCACAGGTTGCCCAGAGAGGTTGTTGAGGCCCCATCCCTGGAGGTGTTCAAGGCCAGGCTGGACGTGGCCTTGGGCAACCTGGTGTAGTGGGAGGTGTCCCTGTCTGTGGTAGGGGGGGTTGGAACTCGATGATCTTCAGGGTCCTTTCCAACCTAAACCATTCTATGATTCTTTGAAAATACATATACGTTACATATGCATATACATGTTCTTGAGCTTAGCTTTATTATATAATTAAGTATAGGTATACAGGTCTGCATTGGTTATCTTCCAATTCTCTTCTGCATCTACAAAGCAAAGGAAAGGAAAGCGTAGCTCAGAGGTATGCAGTCAAGTGTATCATAATATCATTCCTGTAATATTTTGTGTGCTGTAACTTCATTGAATATAAGATTGGATTTAAGATTCATGTGTGAATAAAAATGGAAGTGGAAATAAAAATTTTATCTTGTATACCAGGATGTCTTGCTTCATGCCTAATAGAAACCCTTCCAATAACAGGAAAACTAATGTTCCTTGATGCAAGAGTGTATTGGGATACAGGCTTCGTTCTTTTTTCACAAGTACTTAGTTGTGCATTAAAAAAATAATCTTACTTAGTTGTAAAACAATCTCTTTGGTTTTATTTTTAATTCTGTAACAGGGCTCTTTATTTTTTCAGTTTGGTATGTTTTTAAGCTTTATTCTCTAGACAATATTGATGTTAAGTGTGTGTATACTTTTTTGGTTTTACTAGTATGAAGTGCTGCTTTGTGTACAAGATCATGATGATCCAGCTATTGATGTCTGCAAAAAGCTCCTTGGCAAATACCCGAATGTTGATGCTAGACTGTTCATAGGTAAGCAGTGCAACTCAAAGGTGGGACTCTTACTTGTAAAATGTTTTTACGTCTTCTACTCTATGTACAGTATTCTAAAATAAATAGTTGTTTTGGTTCTGTAGTTTAATCGTCAGTTTGGGGTAGACAAGTAAGTGTATAGTCCCAATCTGTGACATCAGTCCAAAAAAACTCTAGGAAGAGTGATTTATGAAACCCCTGCAACCTTTTTTCCTTCTAAATCTGAAACAGTAGCTTAAATGCTGCCTTTGCAGTGACCAAAATGTGCAGGAAGTGACTTGGAGTTGTGGCTGTATTTGAGCTTGAGGTCCTGCAACAATCTTTTTTCATCAGCTTAGACTGTAGGGCTCTTTCTTCACTTTACATTTGAATTAGAGGAGGGAAGGGATGTTAGAACTAGGTAGTACAATGTCATTTCTTTTCTCTGATTTGAAACAGACTGGACCATGTCTGTCAGTTGGAAGCAAAAAAGTGTGTCTGACTTTATTCTACTCCTTTTTCATTTTTCTGCTAAAATTACCGTAGAATATAGTAGTCATAATCACTAGTCTTAAGAAATAAGAGGTAGAGAATATTTACCTTACAAAATATAGTAATGAACTGTGTAGTTCTACTACCCTTTCAATTACATTAAACTTTTTACCCTGCCATTTTGAGGAAGCATTTGAATATTTTTTTCCTTTTTAATTCTCTGCATAATTGTAGTAAGATCTAAAATGTAGATGTGAAGGAATAATTAAAACTTAAATCCTTTTCACAAAAGTGGACTTTAAATGGTTACCCATCAATTCTTACTCTTCTTCAGTTAGTATATCTAAATATATTCGGTATTGAGTCTGTAGTCTAAAAAAGACCCCCCCCATACATTATTTGATGATGTTGGTATTTTTTAGGTGGCAAGAAGGTTGGCATCAACCCCAAGATTAACAATTTAATGCCTGGCTATGAAGTTGCCAAATATGACCTCATATGGATTTGTGATAGTGGAATCAGAGGTAGGTGTCTGTTGTAATGTGCTGACTGTTACGTTGTTCTTATTCCCTGTAGGCAAGCAGTTGTTGGAGATTATTTTGACTGAGAATACAAGTACAAAGGAAAGTTAAAAATCCAGAAAAAATATTTTCCTAGGATAAAAACGTTCCATCTCTATTTAAAAGTGAAAGTACCATTAAAAAATAGTGTTGAAACTGTTTCCATTGTGTTTGTTGAGAATTAGTGTTGGTTTTTTCTGAAACTTGGTTCCTCCAAAATACTGTGCATCAAAGTATATGTGCTCTTGATACTGGTAATATGGTGAGAACTAATGTCTCTATACTGTAGTCTGCTAATGACCGAATTGCTCAATGAATTGTCTTTTTTTTCATTTGTCACTTAGTAACGCCAGACACTCTGACAGATATGGCCAATCAAATGACTGAAAAAGTAGGCTTGGTCCATGGGCTTCCCTATGTTGCAGACAGACAGGGTTTTGCTGCTACCCTTGAACAAGTGAGTGCCATGTTTTTGTTTTGGTTTGTTTTTTTGCAGGACCTTGCTGACTAAAAGTTGTGTAGTGCCTCTTGCCCCTTTTGAGTGAAGAAATGTTTATTTTCAGCAGCATTCACACTTCAAACTATCTAGAATATCTTCTAAATGCTCCAGAATTCTACTGTGGTGCTCTGAACATTGACTCAATATTTAAGTTCACAATACAAACAAAGATTGCAGGATGAAAAGGATGGATTTTATTTTAAAGATCATTAAAACGGATCTCTTTCTAGTGTGTAGCCAGAAAGGGTCATTAATTCTATTTTGATGTCTGAAAAGGAATGCAGAAATGGCCATGACAAGTCAGAGCAAAGTCCAGGGCACACAGTATCTTATTTCCAGCAGGGCTTATAAGCAGAGCCCTTGAGGAGAGTAAAACACAAGTAAGGCTTATATCTTGTTTTTCAGTAATACTGTTTCAACTTTCTGCAATTTTTAGCTGAAAGACTTCCTGAGCAGGAAGTAGACCTGTATATTTGCTAATCCTCCCTATTAGTATTCTAATAAGAACAGATTTTGTATGTGAACTTTTCCATTCTTTCTTTGAGTCCATACAGCAGTTATAACTGTCTTCACCAGGAAGTTCCATAGATCTACTGTGTGTTACAGGAACCACCACTTTGTTCACTCTGACCCTTGTTCTTCTATAGTGCTGTTTCATGTCTCCTAATACTTGTTTTGGAAGAGAAAGTGAACATTTCTCTCCTGTCCACCTTCTTCATATCACTTATTCTGTCCCATTCTCCCCTTTCTTCTTTCTCACTAAGTTTTCTTTTGTAGAATGAAGAGATGGAGTATTCTTGTTTGTTCCTTGTGTCTCAAGGCGTGTAATTTAATCAACTGTCTTTCATTCTAAGCTGGCATGTATACGGCATTTTGGCCCCAAGGCTGACTAATGTGTGTCAAAGGCAGAAATGTGAGAGATGAAAGCGCAGTGAAATTCAGTACTCTTTCATTGCATGCAGAGAGGGCAGCTCATGTGATTTTTGTGACAAAATCTGAATTTCCTCTTACAAGAGAAGAGCAAGGAGCTATAGCGCAAAGTGCTAAAGTAGCAGGAATTACAGCTCCTGCTTCTGTATTCATGGAAGAGCTTTTTGCTTCCGGATCCAGTATACTGCAAGATGAGCATGCCTCCTCTTGAATGAGTTACTGTATTAGTAACACCAGCGTGAAGGCCATTGATAGGAAGAATAGTAGTGAGAGCCGCTAGCACTCATTTCTACTGTCTTTTTGTAGATAAATCCTAGTTATAAGTTCTTGAATCTTGTAGAAAGACTCTCACAATGTGAATTTTCTCTTTGCTATTTCTGTTTGCAAGTACATTATGTAAACAAAATTCTCCTGCTTCTGTACAGCTGTAAAGTAAGTTTCTAAGAACATGTATGCAGTAATGCAGTTAACCTTTCCAAAAGGAAGGAGAGACCATGTCTGTCAGCTATCACCAAATAATATATGAATCCTAGTGATTATTAAGTTACTTAATGGATTTTTAATATATGTATTCCCTGAGAACGACCTCAATAAATTAGAAATTAAGTACCAAATGAAACACAGTAGTTTAATATGTGGATTTAAAACCTGTTAATAGATGTGTGAAAACACATCCAATGAAACTACTAGGTTTCTCAGATTTGGTGGCAAACTAGATTTCTTAGATTGGTGGCAAAGATCTTTCCAAATACACTGTCATAATTGGCCACATCTAGCCCTTTTTTTTGGAGAAAATGTTGCCAGTGACTAGTACTTACGTAAATACATGTGGAGTTTTAAAGGCCTTATCTTGTTTTGGCAGGTTTATTTTGGAACTTCACATCCAAGGTCATATATTTCAGCCAACTTAACTGGCTTTAAGTGTGTAACAGGAATGTCATGCTTGATGAGGAAGGATGTCTTGGACCAAGCAGGAGGACTGATAGCTTTTGCACAATATATTGCTGAAGACTACTTTATGGCCAAAGCTATAGCTGACCGGTAAGATGTCTCTGAAGTCAGCTTATTGCTTTAAGAGCAGTTTAAATCTTTTTTAAACATATAGTACATACTATAAGTATAGGTGTTCAGGTCAGCTTCACGTGTATACAGTAAATGTGCTTTCAACATGCTAAAAGACTATTGTTTGTGGGCTTTTAGAAATAATTCAGCCATATTGTTATCAATTCCTTTAGAAAAAAGTTTGAGAACTTTGTTAAGTATTATTGAAGTGGTATTTGCTCTTTCCAATGAAAAGATTTGATAAAATACACCTGGTTTTTTGCTTATAGCTATTGTAATAATACAGCACATATGCCAAAGAAACATTTCAAGCCTAATAAAATTCCTGGGTGTTTGTTCTCTAATTGTTTTTTGCATCTCTTATTTGCACCTTTTTTATAATAACAAATTCATTTTTCAGGGGCTGGAAATTTGCGATGGCCACACAAGTTGCAATGCAAAACTCTGGTTCATATTCAATTTCTCAGTTTCAGTCCAGAATGATCAGGTAAAACTTTAGTCTTTACTTCCTCTCCCACCCACCCCTGTCACCTGCTTCTGATGTGGATAACCTGATAATGAGAGGAAATACATTTTCCAAGCTCATTTGATCTAATGTCCAAAATGCTGAAGTTCCAATGCACAGCTTGCTGCATGCTTCTTGCTAGTGTTGGGATAGAGGCACTGACTTTCCACAGAAGTATGACTGGTAATAGAAAAATGTGAAAAAACTAAAACCAACAAACCTTAGTACCTTTTAAATGCTAAGTGATAATTTTTGCAATATTCTATTTGGAGGTGTAAACTAAAGATTAAACTAATGTCAGAAAAGGCCACAATGGCTCATCATTTGGTGAGGTGGGGGAGGAGGACATAAAGAATAATTCACAGTCAGAACTGATTTGTTTGCCTTTTCTAGGTGGGCCAAACTGAGAATTAATATGTTGCCTGCCACGATAATTTGTGAGCCAATCTCAGAGTGCTTTGTTGCCAGTCTAGTTATTGGATGGGCAGCTCATCATGTGTTTAGATGGGATATAATGGTATTCTTCATGTGTCACTGCTTGGCGTGGTTTATATTTGACTACATTCAACTAAAAGGTGTTCAGGTACGTAGCTTCATTTCTTTGTAGTTATTAAAGTTACTAGTGTCATCTACTTCAGCAAAAAGCTAAGCCTAATTATAACAAAAAAAATTTCTCTTGACATCAAGGAAATAACAGGTCAAATCCTGTTACTTCTCAGTTTTCAAGCTTCAATTATAGTAGTGTAAAAACAAGTAAGCGTGCTTGGTTGTAATTTTGTTTGCTCTGTGCACCTGCCTCTGTCTAGGCTCTGAAAGTTTGCATATCTGTCCCCTTAATCTTTAAATTTCCAGTCTGGTCTACCTAGGCATATCTAGAAATTTTTAAGCTTTTTTTTTTTAAACAGTGCAAGAACAGTAGATTTTTAGGATTTTATGGCTCTTAATGGTCACTTTGTATTATGTTTATTGAAGTGTATATGTACATTTTCCAGTCTATTTTGGCAATAATGGGCTTACAGGAAAGCTGTAGTCTACTTCAAAAATAAAATCTTCCCATCACTAGAAGTTGAGGCCTCAAACTTTTAATATACAAAGACGTCACAAATCAGAACAGCATTTGTTCTTCTGATGCTGTAGGAACTATTTAGACTTTCTGCTGTGTCCATATTCCATCCAAATCTGATCCATAATTAATTGTGTATTCAAATTTATCAAATAGTTCTTGTCATACAGAAAAGTACTTTTGGTAGTCTTAGCACATACTGGAACTAATAAAAATAAATATTGGGCCTTCTGTTGATTGTGTAGGACTCCAGAAGGTCAGTTTAACGGTCACCTTTCTGATTACTCTTCTCACCATGCACAGCATGTAAAAAGCTTTGTGCCTACTCTTCCTCTTCTGAAGCCTCTTAGATTTCCAGCTCTGCATATATCCGGAAATTCTCAAAGGAGCAGAAAGTATAGAGAGGATATAAGATTTTTATCTTGGTCCCACTTTTCCTATGCAATTAGGCCAAAGGCATGTTTATTTGAATTTCACTCCTCTGAAAATGTGCATGTGTTGTGTCTAGATGCTGTTCTTCTTGGCATCTGTGGCAAAAACCCATTGTCTGCTTGAGTACAGTTTTGCAAAGCTTCAAAAAGAAAAAAGTGAAATTGTCGCACTTTCCTTTTTCCTTGCCTTTTGCTCGACATACAAATCTCTTTTCAAACCTTCTGGGTCATTCTGCCAAATTCCTCATGTTTAATATGGGTGATCATATCTTGAACAGGAAAATGTTCTTGGCTTATAAAAAAAAATATGCTATTGATATGTAAATCTGTATAATAAGCTTTAAAATAAATTTATCTGTAACACAAATGTTTTAAATTGCTGATTATTCAAAAGGAATTAAAGTATGTTTAAATACTTGTTTTTTATATTCCTAGGGTGGTGCTCTGTGTTTTTCAAAACTTGATTATGCAGTAGCTTGGTTCATCAGAGAATCCATGACAATTTATATTTTCCTATCTGCTTTGTGGGATCCCACTATTAGCTGGAGGACAGGACGCTACAGGTTACGTTGTGGAGGCACTGCAGAAGAAATTCTTGATGTATAGCCGCAGCTGTGTAACTGTGAATGTCACAAAGAGAAAAGGGGGGAAGAAAAGTATTATAAATTGTTTATATAAATACTTTTAAGAAAAATCTACCTTCAGTAGTTTTACTACTTGTATGTTTTGGTATCTGTTCTTTAATTTATTTTTGCATGGCACTTGCATCTGTGAAAATACATCTGTAGTCTTGGCCAAATGGTACCTTGCTCCTACGTACAAATAGAAATGGAGAGAATTGGTCCTGACATCTACATACTATAGGAATGCTCTGCAGTAAACACTTTAAAAAAAAAAAAAAGTATCCTCCTGGATATGAACAGCTTCTTACTCCATGGTGTGCTAGCCTAGCAAATCCAGGGTTCATGTAGCTTATTTTCCAGCTGGATTGTACAAGGCTGTACATAGTAAAATCACAGAAGTACAGCTGACTTCTGTTTTATCCCACTAAACTGAGCTAGTAACAGGACCTTGGGAAAGAAGCTCTTAAATGCTTTATGCCTACCTCTTGTAGTTGCTGCAGAACAAAATGAATGGAAAGGTAAAAATGCTTTGCAAAAACAAACTAAAGTAAAGCTGGAGTCTTGTGTTTATATGTATATATGAAATACTTTAGTCATTGCAATGAACCAAAAGTGGACTGAGTTTGATAGAATGAGTTGGAAGGAATTACTGGTCAGGCGCGTATTGTGGGCATCTTTTGGCCAACTCTGATCTGGTTCTGTCTTGAACCTTGTTAAGCACTGTGCTGTAACTAGCCAAGCTGGTCCCCTTCAATATTTCCATCCTTTTTTTAAGGGGTGCTTGTTTTTTCCCTGTGAGTGAATGCTTTGATGGTGGGGGTGTGTGTATGTGTGGGGGGACATAGTAGGGGGTAGAAGGGAGCAGAAATACATTTCAGAAACATTTCACACATGAGCTATTTTCTTACACGATGTCTTAAGAATGTAATTTCATGATGCAGGTATTTAATATCTTTTTAAAGTGAACGTATATACCTATACTAGTCATAATTAAGTATTCAATTGCAGTAGATATTGTGAATATATTATAGGGCCGGGTGAGTTTGCTGTTACTGATTAAAATTGTAATCTTAATTTAAATATCAAACTAAGTCTACTCTTGGCTTTTTGCCTTCTACTGTTAGTCTAGCCTTTAAATTGGACTTTTGTATTCCGGTGGTATGACTAAAAGGACTAGATTATAATGCATGCCGTGTTCCCCTCCCCCTTACCCCTGGCTCCCTGTAGCTTGGTTTCCAACCCCATTGTGAGACTTCCTAATTTGTGGTGAACTGGACTTGTTTTCTTAGAACACTTTTTAATTAAAAAACTACAGCGAAGCTAGAGAGGGATGTTGCATAAGCCTTTTGTTTTCATAATTGTCTTTATGCTGCTTTACTTTTTCTTCATATGGAATAGCTTATTTTCACCATGAATGTGAGCTGCTAATTACAAGGGTAATGCCAACAAAGCAGCTTTAAAAGTTGGATGATAATGTGTAGCATATTAGCAATAATGACATGTATTTATAAAAATGGACATTTTTACCTTACTGAGCCTATCCCTTACCTGTCATATGCTACACAAACGTAATGTGTATGTATGTGTTGTAAAACATACTCTGGGCCAAAATGCTTCATCCACTTTATCTCTTTTGCCTTATGATACCATGGGACTCTTTTAATGGGCATTTCTGTATGAACAAAGGCTTTTGCATGCTTCATTCTTTTCATGTGAATCAGGAAAAAGCACTTTTCCTGAGGAAAGTTGCACACTGAAAGCTAGTCTAGTTGTGACCCACAAAGACATTATTTGTAATATTGTTTTTTACATAGTTGAATTTTGCTGACAATGTTTGTATTTTCATTTCTTTCATGAAGTTTGATGCCATTCATTGCACTGCTAAAGTGAAGCTTAGCTTGCAACTTAGCTTTATGCTGATTTCTATGCAGGCAATGGAACAGAACCAAAAAAAGGCTGAACAGACTTCATTTTTAAAAATATTTGGTGGGGATAATTGTTTAACAGGTGCTTTTGTATTAGCAGAGCCTCTTTGGTTATGAAAAATAAAGCTTCACTTAAGCAAATAGTTTCATCTGGGTATTGTTCGGTTGATTATGAAACAGGAAACCAACACTGTCAAACGTAGAAGATGCTGCAACAGAACTTCTAAAAGTTAAAAATGGCTTATGTAAAGTTGTGTTGATCCACAGATGTGTAGAATATACCATGTTTATTTAAAATCATTGTCTTGTTTTTTCTTTTATTTAAAAATAAATTTTGAATACAATCTGTTTGGAATACAGTTGTTTTTTTCCCTTTGTTCAGTGATGCCATAACATGACAGCTTTAAGTATTTATGGCAGTGTTGATAGACTTGGCTTCTAATTAATCGTCAAGCAATAAATGTGCCTTTCTTTTGAATTTTTTTTACACCTGGACCATTTGGTTTGGATTTTGTTTCGCTGAAATTAACTCACATGTGCCTGAATTTGATTTTGAGTTATCCTTAGTTGTGTAGAATAACTTCTGTGTGTGTAAAAAAAAAAAAAAAAAAAAAAAAAAAAAAAGAACTGAACAGATAGTTCCCTAGCTATTGTTAAATAGTCAGCCTAGATTCAGATTGTAGAGATGGATATCTTTGCCACAAAACATGTTGAAATTAAGGAGTAGTGTTGTTATCTTCCTTTGAGGTACTTTACCAGGAAAGCACTCTGTGCTGCTTCTGTCTTCTGACTTGGCTTTTTGTTATCTTTTCCATAATACTAAAGATTTTAATGCAAAACTTAGTAAGAGACTGTGTATGATAGAGCTGTTGGAATCTGGGAGCCATGGCAGAAACAAGTACCAATGGAATCACTTGAAAACTAGTTGTAGAAACTTAAATATTCCTGAAGGTATTTTGTGCTCCATGCATTTGTAGCCAAACAGCACAATACCTAAATTCCCTTTCCTGAGTTCTCTTATTATTTTCCTGCTTGCTATTAAATAATGTTTTGATTTTATTCTGTGCTTTCAAATGAAATCTTTCCCACCTGAATTCCTTTCATTGCCACTCTTCTGTTTCCTGATACCAACAACCTGCATTTCCTCTCAGTCTGTTTTGTGAGCTGGAAACATTTGTTTCCTTCTAACCGCCTGATTTCATATATCCTTCTGCTGAAAGCTGTTTCATTCATCTTAAAGGCTTCTTTTAATCCTCACACTTAATTTCTGATCACGTAATTTTAAGGTGAGTATGAGCTCCAGCTGTTCTTGGGTTGAACTTGTCCCCCAGCAGCTGTGGCACTAATTCTGGCTATCGAGGTTAAGGAAACCTAAAGTTTTGTATGGCAATAGAGAAACTTTTTAGACTTACACAAAGTGACTTCAGCTCAAATACTCCCCAGTGCTTGGAATGGAGGATGGCAGTGTATAGAATGTCAGTAATTTCAAACAACCCCAAAAAGCCCACAGAACCAAACCCCACTGGCTTTGCATACCTTGTAGATCCTGAGCACTTGAAGTTGGACTGCTTTAAAGGTTGTTACCTCTTCTGCATTGCACAAACAAATTTCCATTGCCAGCTATTGGGCAATAGAGAATAAGGGATAATTCTTAGGGTTAAGTTCCCCACACGCTGCTTTCACTGCTCATTTCTCTAGTCCCTTAGAGTTCGAACCTTTCAATAAGGGAGCAAAGTCTAATGAAGCACTCTAGCCAGGTTAGCCACTGCCATGTTTGTGTTACCTGTTTCATACAGAAAGTTGCTGTTGACTATATTGCAAATCTTTGCTGAAAACGTTTCCTTTTTTTTTTTTTTTGTAGCAGTTTCTACTGATGGCTGGCTCTGTCTTCAGTTAAAAGTCGTACATGCAGAGCAGCATCCAGTTCTTCCTTCAATCTACCTTGTGCAATCACAGGCAAATCAGCCAGTCCTGTGGATCCTAAGCCTTTGCAAGGTCATGTCCAGTGTGTTTCCTTTTTCAAAAGCAGTTTTAGGTTAGTGTCTTGTAAATGTTCTTCTAACTATGCTGAAGCCCCGCAGTTTGTATATGGAAAGAAGTGTGTCTAGCTTTTTCAGTGGAAGATGTTTGTGATGCTTGTCTTCACGCTTACCTTAGGCTAAAATAACTACCCAGCTTATTCCTGTAAACTAAGAGACTAAAAAAAGAAAAGTAGTATTCCTAATACTTTCCAACACAGCTTTTGGAATGCTTTGTTTCTTATTCTCCTCATATCAAGAGTGGGCAGCTACTGATATGTGGTTCGTGCTTCTGGGAGAATATGCTTCCTCTTCTCGATCTTAATCAGCTCTAAGTATTTTTGCCTAAATGCTGGTGTGACTGTAGATGATGAGTTAAGAGGTGCAAACCATACAGCTTGCAATGGAGGTTTGTGGATTGCTGCTTGTTTCTGTCTCATCCCCCTACATGTGCCCCCAGTTCTCTTTC